AAATCAACTCTCGAACTGATTGGCTAAAGCCTGAACATCCAAAGCAAGCAGCCTCTAGCTGGCCGGAATATAAGCGAGACTGCTCATACTGGCTGACTTCGTACTCAAAGCATCGGCCACCACATTGGCCTTCCCCGGATGATAGAGAATGGTGACATCGTAATCCTTCAACAACTCCAACCACCTCCTCTGCCTCAAATTCAACTCCTTTTGCTTTAACAACTACTGAAGACTCTTGTGATCAGTGAACACCTCACACACCACGCCATACAAATAATGCCTCCAAATCTTTAAGGCGTGAACTATGGCTGCCAACTCTAAATCATGCACTGGATAATTCTTCTCATGAATCTTCAACTGCCTCGAAGCATAGGCAATGACCTTGCCATCCTGCATCAACACTGCACCAAGCCCAATACGGGAAGCATCACAATAAACTGTATAGGGCCCTGAACCTGTGGGCAAAACCAACACCGGTGCCGTAGTCAGAGCTGTCTTTAGCTTCTGAAAGCTCTCCTCACACTCATCCGACCATCTGAGGGCACCCTTCTAAGTAAATTTGGTCATTGGGGCTGCAATAGATGAAAACCCCTCCACGAACCATCTGTAGTAGCCTGCCAACCCCAAGAAACTCCGAATCTCTGTAGCTGATGCTGGTCTAGGCCGGTTCTTGACTGCCTCTATCTTCTTTGGGTCCACTTGAATACCCTCAACTGATACAACATGACCCAGAATTGCAACTGAAATTAGCCAGAACTCACATTTGGAGAACTTGGCATATAACTGACTGTCCCTCAGAGTCTGAAGAGCCACTCTAAGGTGCTGGTCGTGCTCCTCCTGGCTGCGGGAGTATATCAATATATCATCAATGAACACTATCACGAATGAATCCAAATAAGGCCTGAACACTCGGTTTATCAAGTCCATGAAAGCTGCTGGGGCATTTGTTAAACCAAATGACATAACCAAGAACTCATAATGCCCATACCGAGTGCGGAAGGCTGTCTTAGGGACATCGGATGCCCTAATCCTCAACTGATGGTAACCAGATCGCAAGTCAATCTTGGAAAAAACCCTGGCACCCTGAAGCTGGTCGTACAAATCATCAATCCTCGGCAGTGGATACTTATTCTTGATCGTTACCTTGTTCAATTGCCGGTAATCAATACACATTCACATTGACCCATCCTTCTTTTTAACAAATAATACCGGCGCACGCCAAGGTGAGACACTAGGTCTAGTGAAACTCTTCTCAAGCAAATCCTGCAACTGTTCTTCTAACTCCTTCAACTCCGGCGGGACCATACGATATGGCAGAATAGAAATGGGCTGAGTGCCCAGGCTAGATCGATGCAGAAATCAATATCCCTGTTGGATGGCATACCTGGCAGGTCTGAAGGAAAAACATCAGGGAAATCACGAACAACGGGTACAGAATCGATAGAGGGAACCTCAGCACTGGAATCCCGAACATAAGATAAATAAGCCAAACACCCCTTCTTGACCATACGCCGAGCCTTCACATACGATATGACACTGCGGGTAGAATGACCTGGAGTCCCTCTGCACTCTAAACGAGGCATACCCGGTAAAGTTAAGGTCACAGTCTTGGCATGGCAGTCCAAGATAGCGTGATAGGGTGATAACCAGTCCATCCCCAATATAATATCAAAGTCGACCATATCTAAAAGCAACAGTTCTACACGAGTCTCCAGACCCCCAATCACCACAACACAAGAGCGATGGACTCGATCGACCACAATGGAATCACCCACCGGTGTAGACACATAAACAGGGATACCCAATGCATCACTAGGCATGATCAAATACGGGGCAAAATAGGATGACACATACGAATACGTAGACCCCGGGTCAAACAACACTGAAGCATCTCTATCACAAACCAGAACCGTACCTGTAATAATCGCATCTGAAGCCTATGCCTCGGGCCTAGCCTGAAGAGCATAACATCGGGGCTGGGCCCCACCACTCTGATCTACCTCTCTCGGACGGCCTGCTGCTGGCTGGCCTCCACCTCTGGCGGTCTGAGCTCCACCTCTATGACCTATACCTCCACCTCTAGTACCTCTACCCCTGCCTTTAGCTGGCTGGGCAGCCTGTGGAACATCTCATGCCTGAATCATAGGACGGGGACCTTGTTGCTGAGAACTGCTCGAAGCTCGAGGGCAATACCTAGCAATGTGCCTCGTGTCACCACAAGTAAAACAAGCCCTCGGCTGCTGAGTCTGCTGGCCCTGTCGACCTGAATGACCACGACGGAAACTCTGGAGCGGCGGCGCACTGATAGGAGCTGGCGGTGCACTGAATGGCTGCTGATCAGAATAATGCCCATGGAAACCACGATCACCTGAGGCACCCTGAAACCTGGAGGGCTGACTGGAAAGGCCTAGAAGGCTGACCCCTATCATAAGAATCTCTGCCTCCAGATGAGGCACCACTGAATCGGCCTGACTGATGGGGTCTCTTGTCTGCTCTATGACCACCCCCTGTGGCAATACCATCTCGATCCTCCGGGCCACATTGGCCGCCTCCTGAAAAGTGATGTCACTCCCCGCCTCTCTAGCCATCTGGAGACGAATAGGCTGAATGAGTCCATCAATAAACCGTCTCACTCTTCCCTCTCAGTGGGGAGTATGACAATAGCATGGCGAGCCAACTCAATAAATCTGGTCTCGTACTGGGTGACTGACATGGATCCCTGGTGGAGATGCTCGAACTGCCTCCGAAAGGCCTCACGCTGCGTGATAGGGAGAAACTTCTCCAGAAATAACACTGAAAACTGATCCCATGTCAAGGCTGGAGACCCTGCTGGTCTAGTTAAACAGAAATCTGGTGACCAAGTCTTGGCTGATCAAGATAGGCAAGGGAACAATCAAATTAATACTCTTTCCCGGCAAGGGAACAGTCAAATTAATACTCTTCCCGGCAAGGGAATAATCAAATTAATACTCTTTCCCGGCAAGGGAACAATCAGATTAATACTCTTTCCTGGCAAGGGAACTACAACAACAAGTCAAACATCCCGACAAGGGAGAGTCAGCTATAACCAATCCTATTCAACTTATTCCTGGCACAACTAATACCAATATTTAATAACAACGGTCATAGGATCAAACAAGGGTACACAATTATCAAATTAAGACTCACAGTCATGCTTGACACCGACGCATGGATACTCGTCACCATGCCCATACGTCGTACTCAACAAAAACAAGTAGCAATTATGACTCAACTCCTAATCCATCAAGCTAGGGTTAAACCAAACACTTACCTCGATGCTTTGAACTCAACTCAAGCCTTAACTATAGCTTTACCCCGAGATTCCACCTCCAATCCGCTCGAATCTAGCCACAAATTACTCAATTACTTTACTAAACACTAAATGAATCAATTTGAATGCATAAAAAATGAATTTCCCAAGTTTTTCCCAAAAATTCCAAAATCGCCCCCGGGCCCACGTGGTCAAAACCCAAAGTTCGAACCAAAACCCGGTTACCCATTCCCCCACAAACTCAAATATGTAATTTGTTTTGAAATCGGACCTCAAATTGAGGTCCAAATCCCCAATTTTTGAAAACCCTAGGTTCTACCCAAAACCCCCAATTTCACCCATGAAAATCATTGATTCTAAGTGGAAAACATGTTAAATGATATTAATGAGTGAAAGAATTAAGTAAAAATCGACTTACAAATGATTTGGGATGAAACTTGTTCTTGAAAAAATCGCCTAAGGAGTTGTATTTCGAAAGCGAGGTGAAAAATGGCCTCAAGTTTGACTATGGAAAAATGCAGGCTGCAGATATGGGAATTGCAAACTGGGGTTCGCAATTGCGAACCCCGACCAATTATGGGAATTGCGAACAATAGTTCACATTTGCGAACTCAGGCTAGATAGAAGGACTTCGCATTTGCGAAATATGCTTCGCATTTGCGAAAGCTCAACCTTCGCATTTGCGAAGGAATGCTTCGCATTTGCGAGCGAAGCAGGCCTGGGCTGGTTTCGCATTTGCGATCCAGCCTTCGCATTTGCGAATCAGGCTTCGCAAATGAGAAGCCTGCAGGCATGATCATACCAGATTTTCCAAAATTCAAAAATGCAATCCGACACCTATCCAAAACTCACCCGAGCCCTCGGGGCTCCAAACCAAATATGCACACAACCTCAAAAACATCCTACGGACTTACTCGCGCGATCAAATCGCCAAAATAACATCATATACATCGAATCAAGCCTCAAAACTCATGATTTCTTCCAAATTTTCATGAAACATCAATTTTTCCATTTTAAGTCCGAAACACGTCAAACGACGTCCGTTTTCAACCAAACTTTATAGAAAGCGCTTAAACCATATATAAGACTTGTACCGGGCTCCGGAACTAAAATACGGGCCCGATACCACAGTCTTTTAATCAAATTTTATTTTCATTTTCCTTAATCATTTCCAGAAAACAATTTCACACAAAAATTCATTTCTCGGGCTTGGGACCTCGGAATTCGATTCCGGGCGTACGCCCAAGTCCCATATTTTCCCCCGGACCGTCTGGGACCGTCAAATAACGGGTCCGGATCCGTTTGCGCAAAATATTGACCGAAGTCAAATTTAATCAATTAAATATCAAAATCTAGCATTTTTCTCACAGAATTCATATTTAAGCTTTCCGGCTACGCGCCCGGACTGTGCACGCAAATCGAGGCAACCCTAAATAAGGTTTTCAAGGCCTCGAAAGCACGGAATGAGTAAGAAAATAGGTGATGACCCTTTGGGTCGTCACAATACTGGAGTTTATTTTTTAACAATGTAACTTCTAAATATTTAATTATTTGATTCATTAAATATAGGATGCACACAAATTTCTTGGTTATCGCATTTGATGGGAAATGGACAGCAGATTACAAGTACTTAGACCATAAAACATAGCTTCTCCTTATAAATGATGGGACTACATTTGAAGAATTCATGAGCAAAATTTTTCAAGTTATGGAGATCGACAACGACAAGTTTGAAGCAAAAGTATGGCTTAATATTAACCTAGGTACTGCTAAGGGAATACAAGTTACAAAAGATGAAGATCTTACCTCGTGTATGGTGCTCTTAAAAAACGATCCATACTATAAAGGTTCCAAATTTGTTGTTGAAATTTCAGAAATACCAGATCAACAACCAGAAGGTAATGCAATAATGGAAATTGATAATCAACAATTATTGCACAGAACCACATATGTTCAGGAAGAGAAACTGATGCTGATATCTCAAATATCAGAAGAGCAGGAGATACCAATTTATGACATGACAATGGAAAATGAAATTGTAAATCCTGTGGAAGATCAACACATCGAATCACTAGTCACTATTGAAGGAAGAAAAAGGAAAGGAAAAGGAAAGGCAAAAGAATCCCCATCAATATTACTAAAGGAAAATGCATCATTGGATGATGTAAAACTCGATTCTGTTTTTCAAGAAAAAAATGCTATGATCAGATGTTTTTGCTTAGCAGCTATTAAGGAGCACTTTGAGTTTTATGTTGACAGATCAAGTAATACAAGATACTCTTTGGTATGTACTGATAAAAAGTGTGGTTGGACTGTTCGAGGTTCAAGAATTAAGGAATCAACACTATTTAAAGTAGTTAAATTTCAGAGATCACATGAGTGCTCGGTTGACATTAGAAAGTCAAATCAAGGACAAACAACTCCAAATGTGATTAGAGATTACATTATTGACAACTTAAGGGACATAGCTACTGAAGTAAAGCCTAGGTTTGTCATTTCAGAAATGAAAAGATCACATGGAGTAGATGTTGCTTATGGAAAAGCATGGCATGCTATTCAAAAGGGGTTATCGTTATTAAGAGGAACAACTGAACAGAATTATGAGTAGTTGGCATCATATTTGTATATGATCGAACAAAAAAGTCCAGGATCATATACAAATATTCAGAGAGATTTAGATAACAGGTAAATTTCTTATGTTTCATTACAATATAGCGGCCTTCGTATATATGATGTAATATTTTATATGGGAAATCTGTCTTTTGATTGTCGTTTTTACTAATGTTTTTTGTTTATTGAATTTAGAAATAAATTTTATCGAGTATATTATACTGAAATCTCGTGTTAATCTTGGTCCTGCAGTATGTTATATTGGATGAATATTATCATATAGTTTAGTGTTGTTTCATCCCAGTATATTTTACGGGATGTCTGCTGTGTGTAAGCTTTGTCTCCAGTATATTATACTGGATGAGTTCGGTTTGAACTAGAACTTTGTTTTATTTGTCCTTACTTTTTTTCGAGTGATTATTTGTCTTGTTTTTGTATTATTGTCTTTAACCCAGTATATAATACTTGAGTTTTGTTTTATTTCAATATATTTTAATGCAAGTGTGTCGACTTTAAGCTTGTTTCCAGTATGTCTTTAATCTAGTATCTGATTTGACTTACGTTTCATTATAATATACTAGCCTTCGTATATAAATATGATATAATATTTTATATGGGAAATTTGTCTTTTTAGTGTGGTTTTTGCTAATGTTTTTTTGTTTATTGAATTTAGAAATAAATTTAGTCCAGTATATTATACTGGAAGTCTGTCTTGGGTACGTTTTTCTTCCAGTATGTTATACTGGATGAGTGTTATCATCTAGTTTAGTCTTGTTTCATCCCAATATATTTTACGGGATGCCTGCCGTGTGTAAGCTTTGTCTCTAGTATACTATACTGGATGAGTTCGGTTTAAACTAGAACTTTATTTTATTTGATCTTACTTTTTTCGAGTGATTATTTGTCTTGTTTTTGTATTATTGTCTTTAACCCATTATATAATATTTGAGTTTTGTTTGATTTCTGTATATTTTAATGCAAGTGTGTCGTATTTAAGCATGTTGTCCAGTATGTTATTTGTATTCAGCTTGTCATATGGTATAACTGAATGTTATTTACTTTTCCAGGTTTGTTTATATGTTTTTTATATATGGTGCATCAATTTCTGGGTGGAGGTATTATAGACCACTTATTGCTGTGGATGGAACATTTCTAAAAAATAAATATAGAGGTGTTCTGTTAGTGGCTGTTACAAAAGATGCAAATAACCAGATTTTCCCTATAGCATTTGGAGTAGTGGATTCAGAGAACAACGAATCATATGAATGGTATTTCAGAGAATTAAGAAAAGCAATTGGGATTCGTAAAGATTTAATATTTTTGTCAGATCGACACAAGGCCATTGCAAATGGAATCGCAAAAGTTTTTCCTGAGTGCTACCATGGTATTTGCATATATCATTTGGAAAAGAATCTAAAGCAAAGAAGAGTGAGAAACACTATACTAAAACTCTTTCAAAGTGCTGCAGGAGTATACCTTCAATCAGAATTTGATGACTTCATGTCCCAAATAGCTGCTGTTGATAAGAAAACATTCAATTATTTGATGGAGGAACCACCAGGAAGGTGGGCTCGTTCACATTGTCCAAGACGACGATATGTTATGTTAACAACAATTATTATTGAGTCAATGAATAATGTTTTGAGACGTGCAAGAGAATTGCCACTTTTAGCAATGATGGATTTCATACAAGAAAAATTGCAAAGCTGGTTTTATGAAAGAAGGACAACTGCAGAAGGAATATTCCGCGAGTTATCAAATTGGGCAGAAGCAACATTGGAAGATAAAATTAAACCAGCTTTTACATTTAGAGTATTGTCCATTGATCGACTCAAATTCAATGTCAAAGAAGGGGGTATGGAATTTATTGTTGATCTAGACAAAAGAACATGTGATTGTTCTGAATTTCAGCTAGATGAGATACCCTGTGAACATGCAATTATATATCAGAAGAAATCATTCTTTTGTTCAACCTATTATTCAAGGGACTTTTGGTTGAAAACATATGAAGGACAAGTAAATTCTGTAGGTGATTCAACAACATGGGTTATACCAGACAATATTAAATCGGATATCACTAAGCCTCTAGATGCAAAAGTAATGCTAGGAAGAAGACAGAAGAATCGACATGTTTCCGGTACAGAATTCAAGAAGGAAACAAGATGTGGTCGTTGCAAAAAATATGGGCATAACATAACAAATTGTACAAATTCTGCTGTAGCTCATCCTTATGCAAGAAAATACACAAAAAAAAATGATTGATTATATACAATATGGTTGCATTGGCTCATGTGATTATATACAATATGGTTGCATTCTGAATAATTAGTTTGGTATTCTTTTTTTTAAAGATATTATTATTGTTTATTTTTTTGTTTCTTGATTTTCTAATAGGAGAATAGTATGCAGGAAACAAACTTTTAATTTATTTATTTCGAGCAAATTATATTAGATACAAATTTTCCATTATCTTACCCATCTCCATTTATAATATACTGGTCTATATAGCTTAATTACTAGCTTTTCCAGCATAATTTACAGGAAGCAACTAAAATTAGAACTCCAACAAGAGTTGCATCAGCAAACTTAGTGTAAAAAATCTTATTGTGCAGATCCTGTATAAAATACTGGACATTATAGTTTCTCAAAATATACCTCCAGCATAATATACACGAAAAAAAATTTTAAATTATTTAATTCCAGTAAGTTATTCTAGATACCAATTTTGCACGATTATACAGTTCTCTCCATTATAATATTGTAACGACCCGACCGGTCGTTTTTAGAATTCACGCCCCGATTCCCCATTAACTGTTTCCCCTAAGTTCATTTCTGCTATTTTGGTTTGCCGGGACGTTCGGTGTTGAGTTTTGAAGAGTTTTGGGACACTTAGTCCCTAAATGAGAGCTTAAGAGTTGAAAAATGGTCCGTAATCAGAACAGTGTGAAGACGACCTCAGAATGGAAATTCGATGGTTCCATTAGCTCTGTTAGGTGATTTCGGGGTTGGGAGCGTGTTCGGAATGTATTTTGGAGGCTCGTAGCTCATTTAGGCTTGAAATGCCGAAGTTTGAATTTTTGAAGTTTCCGGTCCGATAGTGAGTCTTTGATCCGAGGGTCGGATTGGAATTCCGGAAGTTGCAGCAGTTCCGTCATGTCATTGGGGTGTGTGCAAAATTTCAGGTCATTCGGACGAGGTTCGGGTAGGTTTTTTATCGAAAGCGTGTTTGGTTGGAATTTGAAGTTCTTAGGCTTGAATCTTTGATTAATTCGGGTTTCCGGCGTTGTTTAGGTGTTTTCAAGATTGGTACAAGTTTGAATAAGGTATTAGGTGGTATTGGTACTTTTGGTTGAGGTCCCGGGGGCCTCGGGATGATTTCGGGTGGTTAACGGAAGAGTTTTAGAAGTTGAGAAATAGCAGCGCTGCTGCTTCTGGTATCTTTCCGCTTCTGCGGCTTGGGAACTGCAGAAGCGGAGCCGCAGAAGCGGCCTTGGTCGTCACAGAAGCGAGATTAGCCCTCCCTCTCAGGAACCGCAGAAGCGGTCGCCATTCCGCAGAAGCGGAACCGCAGGAGCATTATGTGTCCGCAGAAGCGGACTCTGGTCCATTAAGTGAAAACCGCAGAAGCGGTTGTTTTTCCGCATATGCGAGACCGCAGAAGCGGTTCGTTGTCCGCAGAAGCGGAAATCCCTGGGCAGAAATAGCAATGTCGAGGGTTTGAGTTCATAACTTACAAAATCAATTGAGAGCTCGGGAGAGGGCGATTTTGAGTGGGTTTTGAAGAGAAGATTTATTGGGTAACGTTTCTTAATCCCTTCTAGTTATATTTCATTATTTTGTAGTTAAATCCATCATTTAAAATTCGAATTTGGGACTAAAATTGGAGGAATTTGGTTAGAACTTCTTAGGCCAAACTTTGGGATTTTGAGTGAGCATTTGACCTCCGATTTGGGAGATTTTTATATGGTTAGACTCGTGAGAATACGAGGGTTCTGAAAATGTAAAAATTATTTGATCTTGAGTTGTTGGCCTGAAGGGCATTTTGGTCATTTCACTAAATTTCACGCCGTAGCTTTGAATTAAATAGTAGAATCAGTTGCTTGAGATGTTATTTACAATGTGTGATTTAATTGAATAGATTTGGGCCATTTGAAGTCGAGTACTCGTGGCAAGAACGTGGTTGCTAGTTGATTTTAGCCGGTTCGAGGTAAGTATCTTGACCTTGTGTGGGGGACTTCCCCTTAGGATTTGAGTCTTCTTTGTTGATTGTATTCATTGTACGCGAGGTGACGAGTGTGTGCTAGGATTTATTTGTGGAAAATTGTCCCTTTTAGGCTTTTAGATCCTTGTAGTCACCGAATATAAAGTTGTTCTTGATACGATTGAGTTCCCTGTTATTAGCTTCACCTTTACATGTCTTACTTGGAATTTATTTGCCCCTTTTTGGCTTATTCTTGTTGCCTAATTGACTTTTACTTGTTTCTCTGTAGACATTACCCTTCTATAGTCACAGTATCATTCCTAACTGCTTGTCTTTATTTGGAAAGCATTATTTCCATCTCTCGTGTAATTAATTGGTCTTAATTGGAAAGAAGTTAGATATCCTATATTCAGTTGATACTTCCTTAATTGTAATTATTTGATTCATGTTAACTTCCTTGTTGTTGAAATTAGTATTATGGAATCGTTGTTTCATATTATTTCTCCCTTGTTGAGTTGTTCTTATTGCGCTTAGTATTTCTCTGTTACGGTTATTCCTTGTGAGTTAGTTGTACCGTCTTTTGGTGAACGGAAATACCTGAGTAGATTCTCTTGCGTTGTTCCTGTATATATTGTCGTTTGTTGTGTTGTACTTGAGATTGTGACGCACGAGGTTTCTGCCATGCGGTTGTTGATACTGTGATGCACGAGGTTTCTGCCGTGCAATTGTTAATATTGTGATGCACGAGGTTTCTGCTGTGCGGTTATTGATACTGTGATGCACGAGGTTTCTACCGTGCGATTGTGAATATTGTGATGCACGAGGTCTTTGCCGTGCTGTTGTTGTTATTGATGTTTTGCACATGCGGCGTAATAAGGCAGGATATGTTATATGCTTATATGTGGGTTGCGCATGTGGCGGAATAAGGAGGGAACATTGTGATGCACGTTTGGCGAAATAAGGCGGTACCTATTATCTTATTATTTGTACACGTGGCGAAATAAGGTGGGCTATGTCAGGGGATGATTGTAGAGAATTGTGACGGCCTGTGGAGGCATTCCTATTTGTTTAATAATGTGATTGTGGGTTGCTTACCGGTATGAGCTTTATTGCTTGGAGGTTGTGAGGAAACATCGTACGTGCGGTCCGTTCTCCTTTTCATGTTTACTAGCTGGTAGAATTTTGTTAGAAATATTTGCACAAGCATACATGTAGCTGAACACCCCTATTAGAGGTGAATTCCTCCTGATTTTGCTAAGGGTGGAGGTACGCCCTCGTTTATCCATTATATTTGTGAGAGTGGCCTTAGTTAGCCAGTTAGTTGTCGGTATGACCATGAGATTGATGGGGCACAGGATGCCAATTGTTAGATTGTAGATGCTGGGTCTTCGCGAGTTGTGGTTTGTCCGAGACTTGGTGAAATTGTGGAAAGAGTTGGATAAGACCTTTGTGAACATCATTGTAGGATATGAGTTATTGACTTGTTTTCCCATTGCTGTGTTGTGACCTTAGGATTTGGATTGTGATTCTGCCATCATTTCCTATCCTCATTTATTATATCCTCATTGTTACTTGTTGTATTTTTTTCCTTATCGTGAATTGTAGAATTCTTGGCCATTCATGCAGTCTTTACATATTTATATGTCATTCCCATTGTTCCTATGATTATACTGTTTATTGACCGGTAGGTGCCTTGACTGTTCCTCGTCATTACTCCACCGAGGTTAGTCTTGATACTTACTGGGCACCGCCGTGGTGTGCTCATGCTACTCTTCTGCACATTTTTGTTGTGCAGATACAGGTACTCCCACTCAATTCTGTCAGCCTTAGAAGGAGGCGTATCAGTAGAGACTTCGAGGTATATCTGCTACGTCCGCAGACCGAGGAGTCCCTTTCCAGTTTTCTGTAATAAGTATAGCTCTTTCAGCATTTCTCCTTTGTATAGATATTCTTGAGTCAGAGCCTCTTATGTATCCCTTAGCTTGTGATTTGTGAGTTTCCGGGTTTTGGGAATTGTTTTAGACTTGTGATATTGAGTTGTACTTGCCATGCGGCATTCAGTATAGTTTCCTTTAGATATTTGATTTGATTTTTCTCTATTTTTCCGCAATTATTATATTTCTGCAAATGTTAGGCTTACCTGGTCATGGGGACCAGGTGCCGTCATGACATGTTCGCGGTTGGTGAACTAGGGTCGTGACAAGTTAGTATCAGAGCTCTAGGTTCATAGGAGTCACAGATCACAAGCCGGTTTATTAGAGTCTCGTGGATCGGTACAGAGACGTCTGTACTTATCTGCGGGAGGCTATGTAACCGTTAGGAAAAATTCCACTTCATTTGATTTCCCTGTCGTGCGAGATTTTTGACATCTACAATCCTAAACCTTTGTCTTCTACTCTCTCACAGATGGTGAGGACACGTACTACCCGAGGTGATCAGGCACCCGCGCCCCCTGCTGCAGCCGTCAGAGATCGGGGCCGGTAGAGTTCGAGGATGCGCACGTGGTGCAGCGAGAGCACCTGCACGAACTGTTGCTAAGGTAGCACCAGCAGATCCAGCCGGAGCCCAGGCACCTGACACGCCTACTGCTACTACTACTCCAGCCCTTCAGGAGACTTTGGCACAGTTCATGAGTATGTTCACCACTTTGGCTCAAGCAGGATTGCTTCCCCTTGCTACAGCCACATCCCAGGCAGGGGGAGGAGCACAGACCCCTGCCGCCCGCACTCCTGAGCAGCGAGCGCAAGTTGAGCAGGTCCCAGAGATTATTCCTGCGCCGCCTGCGGCACCAGTTCAGCCCGAGGGCATGGCAGCGGCTTCCGAGCAGGAGCAGATGAGACTAGAGAGGTTCAAGAAGTATGATCCTCCGGTGTTCAGTGGATTAGCATCAGACGATGCCTTGGGGTTTCTTGATGAGTGTTACCGTATTCTCCGTACTATGGGTATCTCTGGATCGAGCGGGGTTTCTTTCACTACTTTTCAGCTTCGAGGAGCCGCCTATGATTGGTGGCGCACCTATGAGTTAGACAGCCCAGACGAGGCAGCTTCACTGACTTGGACC